CCTTTCTACGGATTAAAGCGAAAACAAAGGCATGAGAGGAAGCTGAGTGGAAGCACATGCCATTGGAAAAATTAAAAAATATATATGTATGTATATATACAAGTATATAGAGATACTTTAATGAAGTGAAAATTAAAACAAAAAACAAAAAAAAAATTGTCACCTAAATGTTAAAATGTAACCAGGGATTACGGCTAATTTTTGTTTCAGAAAGATTATAAAAAATATGTATATACATATATACAGAAAAAAGTTGCCACTTAATGCGAAAAACCAAACGTTGTAAATATTTGTAATAATATAATAAAAAAATTCAAACTCTAAAGTTTCATTTTCCGGAAAATTATAATAAAAAAAACTTTAAGATGTTGCCACCTTAATCGAAAAATTAAACGGTACACTACTTAAGACTTACGAAGAAAAAACTTTTGACTCTGCCTAACTTTGTTTTATGTTGTATGTGTTTTAGAAATGTTGCCACTTATTTTGAAAAATGCTTAGATTTCTTTAAAAAAATTTAAGACTCAGTGGAAACTATTCAACACGTAATTACTACAAATGTAGGATTATACTTAATTTTTGTTTCAGAAAATTCAAAACAAAAAAATAAAAATAAAAAAATACCGAGTAAAGTTGCCACCTAATTCGAAAAACCAACGACAGTAAGTATTTGGAATAAAATAATAAAATAATAAAAACTTCAAAATTTAATGTTTCATTTTCAAGAAAAAATATTTCTCTCTGCTTAACTTTTTTTATTCTCAGAAAAAAGTTATATTATTTTTAGAAAAATATAAATGCTACCACTTATTGCGAAAAATCCAAGAATTAAATAGTTCAGATATTTTACAAAATTTAAGACTTACTAACCTGTTAACACGTAACCATTATAAATGCAGGATTATACTTAATTTTTGTTTCAGAAAATTCAAAAAAAAAATATTAAAAAAACACCGAGTAAAGTTGCCACCTAATTCGAAAAACCAACGACAGTAAGTATTTGGAATAAAATAATAAAAAATTCAAACTCTAAAGTTACATTTTTAGAAATGTTATAAAAAACTTTAAGATGTTGCCACATTAATCGAAAAATTAAACGATGGAATATTTAAGATTGTAGAGAAAAAAATTGGTTTTGCTTAACTGTTTTTTCAGAAAAATAAAAATAAAAAATGTTGCCACTTATATATTTTAAAAAATTCAAGACTCACAAAAACTGTTAACATGTAAACACTACAACTGAAAGATTCTGCTTAATTTTATTTTCCGAAAAATTAGAAAAAATATACCGAGAAAAGTTGCCACCTAGTTCAGAACCCAAACAGTATAAATATTTGGTATGTAATTAAAAATTCAAACTCTAGAGTTTCATTTTCAGAAATGTTATAAAAAAACTGTAAGTCGTTGCCACGTTATTCGAAAAATTCAACCATGGAATATTTAAGAGTTTAGAGAAACAAAAATTTGGCTCTGCTTAGCTTTGTTTTATTATCAAATAAAAAGAAATAGAAATGTTGCCACCTAGCAGTCTTTAACAGTATCGTTATAAGAGGAGTGAACGGGGTTATTTTCCGATTTCATCCATTTTCATACTTTCAGTAGAAGTTCACATAATATTTCATATTTTTTGCTTATTCTGGCTTTATTTTTCAAGCAGATATGTAGATTAAACTTATTAGAGGACGGAGCCACACCTACTTTTTCAGAACTTTTGGCCACAGGTGCCCTTGCTACTGCCCCTGAGCGAAATTATCTTAATTATGTGCTTAGTTATGTCAATTTATAAGTTTACGGCTAATGGCTTGTAATTTTTTTACGCTATGGAACCCGCATACCAAGTTTCATCAAGATATATACATTTTTGCTGAAGTTACAGCTTGCATGTATAGACGGACGGACGGATTTCAACTTTCTCGTCAGCCTCCAATGCATCTGCTGGCAATTCCAGAGCCAACATCTATGTAGACAGCCAAGTAGTAATCATGGCTTGTATCGCAAATCGGTCAGAAGTATTGTGAGATACAGGGAGCAGTGGAAAGTGTTGTCAGCAGCAAGCAACTTCACTTCTTCTGGGTGCCAGGTCACAAAGGCATCACGGGTAATGAAATAGTGGACGAGATTACCAAGAATGGTGTGCGGCGGCTAACACTCGAAAACGTGATCAACATTGGGAAACCATGGTAAAGAAAACCATAACAAAATGGAACGTGCTATCAAGGTGCAAAACGGTAAATTGAAAGTACACAAAATTCATATTGATACCCAATATAAGAGATTCTAGGAAAATGATCGAATATACTGATAGATCCAGAAGACTGGAGGAAATGTTTAGAGCAAAGCAGCAATTAAACAGTGGATCATCTCTTGTGCACTTGTCCCGCATTGGCAAAAATACGCTGTAAGCAGCTGGAGTCTCCACGGTATGATATACTGGAGTGAGGCCACAGAGTCTGTTAAAATTCACAGCAAGCGAAGGCATTCTAAAGGGTGACTACTCCTCATAGGCCTATTAACTGAACTCCATATGGTATAGCAAAGAACCAAAACTGGTCTATGTGTGGCTCGTTAGCCTACCAAACTAATCTAACCTAATGGTATTATGAAAAAGTTTCAACTTAAATTTTATAGAGTTGCCACCTCTCTGAAAATATAAACACTACTCTAAGTATATAGTTCCTTTATATAATTTTACCCAGAAAACATTTCCAATGCAATAATTAAAATCTTGATTTTTCTAAAATATTGTAAATCTCACTAAGGTTGCCATTTGTCAAAATGGCAACAATTTAATATATTTACATATATATTTCATAGCTTTAGTTGGTCGATTTAATATTCAAAAGTAAGTTTCAAACAAATTGTACGCAATTGCAAACTTTATAAGCAGAAATAATTTCTAAATAGGGTTGCCACAAACTATTTTTTAAACAAATATTTTTGGGAATTAAATATGAAAAAATAAAATGTAAGCAGGCATAAAAAAACTATACAATTCTATATGTTATCATATGCTTTATATTATCCTTAACCGTTGCTCTTGTTGCTATAGAAATTTAATTCCATGAAAAGCATGTAGTTATCTTCCAAACAAACGCACTCACGCAATTTGTTTCGCATGTTTCTTTCTCTCTCTCTCTCTCTCTCTCTCTCTCTCTTTCTCTGTGAGTAAGTATTTATGTCAGCACCATTTCTCGGCTTGTTTTTGTGTACGCCCTAGTAATTTCCACACATTAATTCAAAAACTGCTCAAGCACACTTTTCCATGTGCCACAGTTTGTCTGCATAAATGTGTGTGAAGAATGAAATATACACTACTTGATTCAGATTTAAATGCTATTCATTTCTTAGTAACACTTTTCAAAGCCTTTTTCGTATAAGCAGCTATATTTTGGGCGAGTAGTACTTTTGGCTTTTCGGGGCAAAGTAGTTTTGAAGGATCTGTTTAAGTGTATTACCATACTAAGTTTTAACTATATTTTATATAATACATATATTTAAATATATTATACTCGCTGGGGTCACTAGAATCAGCTTTATTTTTGAATTTAGTAAATTCTTTCGTGGAAGGTCATTAATCGCTACACAAATATTTTCGGATACAATATTTGTGGTACTTATGTGCTTCCCGAATTTCATAAGCCAGGTGAGAAGTGCAGACGCATAAAAATTAAGGTGCATGAAAAATTCAAAGAACACAAAGATTTCTATCGCATAACCACTATTAGTGGCTATTTAGTATCATGGCAATGAGTTCAATAAGAAAATGTATCCCAAAAGAGCACGAGATATGGCTAAACATGAAATTAAAAGTGAAATAGCTGAATGTGATATTTTATCTCTCTAGCTTTTCTCAGACATGGTAGTTGTTTTTAATACGAGTGAATTTCTTGTATGAAAGAAGATAACTACGCAAGCCGATATTGGAACATTGCCGAAAACACCGGATTTCATTGGGATAAAGACAATTATAGGATCTGAAAAACCCAAAACAAAATGGCATACATTTTTAAAGGAGACACCATGGTATTAGGCCTCTCAGAACAGGAAATTTAGAAACTGACGAAGACTTTGTCAACAAAGAAAGAGTATATGTCTTTCGGAAAACACAAATTTCGAAATTGTTGAAGACTTTGTGAACAAAGCAAAGAGCAGGTTAAGAGCAGCAAAACGAGAAAGAGAGTATATAAACAGTTAATCAGCCTTAAGGTTTTTATATTAAGGTCTATAGAGAAATACTTTTTAAGTTACTGAAACTAGTACATCAAAGAAAAGGTTCCTATATCGTACTTCCTTCTCAAACAACAAAAAAATAAAATAAAATAAAAAAAAAAATGGAGTTTCCTAGATTCATACTCTTCTTTAATGCCAACCGCCATAATGGAGGCCGACAGGGAGATTTCACAGCACATATAATGTTACAATAAAATAGCGCTAATTTTCGTTTTGCTGAGACCTGCAGTCAAACGGTAAGCCCTCACATATATAACACTAGTTAAGTCATTAGCTTGGACTGAGCTGCTCGTGGCTAGGCGCTAAGTAGTTGCGCTTATGAGTCTGTTTTTTTTTCGCCATTTGTAGAATTGTACGCCATTCACTTTTGCCACGCCACATGCCACAGTCAATGCATGGCATGACCTGTCAGCTGTCATGTCATGCCGTCATTTGTAAATAATGCAAAACATTAAGGGCTAAAAGATGTGCGTGACCTTGGTGTTTATGCGTTGTAACGACGGTTGCCATCAATGCTAACAGACAAAGCAACTGAACCAAATGAATTTCGACATAATGTGGCGCGTAGGGCGGATTTTAGTTGGCAGTAGTGTGTATGAATGTACCGTTATATGTATGTATGTGTGTGTGTTAAGCATGTTGTGTGCACGACACGAACGCCTACGGCGCGTATACGTGGTCATTTCGGTCATAACGGTAGTGGTCATGGCTGATGCCATGTCAGTCTGTGACTTTTGCCTTAACGCCTAAAAATATGCAAGTTAATGTACCTTATAAATCATCCATTTTAGACAGCGGCGCGCGGCAGTGGTTGGCACTTGCAGCTTCGAGGCGTGTCCGTTGTGTCTGCTGGACCGGCTATTGTTATTTTAGTTGTTGTAATGTGAAGTTGTGCGCTTTCATAGCCAGTACGAGGAGAAAAAATTTTCATTGTCACTTTATCGCAATTGCTGTCATCCGCTTCCTTTTTGCACTTTCGTCGGTATTTTCTTCACTCTTCTCGACGGCCACTCGGTTTTTTCGGCAATTTTCTTTTTCGCACTTTTTTTCCCACTTTTTTTTCGAATTTTTTCACTTCTTTGCCACGCACTTTGTCACTAGTTGTTTTTTTTTAGAAGTTGTTGTTGTTGCGTATATACAAATTTATAGTTACCGTTAGAGTGGTTTTATTACTTTGTGGGCGTCGACAAGCCACTAAGAGAGGTGTGGCGGGCAGCAGAAAAGGTCGCACACAAATTTTAGTTTTCTTTTCGTGGATTATAACAAATTTTGTTTGTTTTTCTTTGCACTTGAAATTTTATTCATGATGCGCACCCACAACCGCTTACTGCGCTCAAAGATATTTATTTAAAATTTTTTTTTATCTGAAATCTGTGCTTCGTTTATATTTGGTTTAGAGCTGCTTTGATACCATTTAGTCAGGCAAACATTGGTCGGCCAATAACAACTTTGTCAACTTCATTTAAGGCGCACAGCTGCTTGTAAATTGCCGTTATGGTCTTAACCTCACTTTTTGTGCACTGATATTTTGATAAACGTTTTAATTTTGTTTTTCTTGGTTGTTTGTGCGATTTGCCATATTTAACTAGCTGCCGCAGAAGGTCTCGCGCATTCCGGTAGCTGTAAAAATATGAAAGAGGGTCAAAAGGTTACGACTTTTGTTTATGTGTGTAGGAATAATTATTAAATATAAGAAAACAATTTCTTTCAAGTGATTTTAGTGGAAAGATGCGACTTTGACTTTGTAAATATGAAGCGTTGCCAGATCAACCTTATCTGCAAAGAACGCTTGCTTCCGAAATTTTTATTTGACATTGTTTGATTATAAGCAAGACATGATCTCATATTTAGATAAAAGCACAAAGAATAACCGAGTTATGTTAGTTTAGGCCACACTGGCCAGCTGTCACTTACTCGTCCTTAATTATGCCAGATTCAGTTAAAATACAGTTTAAATCGATATCAATTATCAGTCAAGACGTCTAGCCTTAAGAAAGACTTGATATCAAATCTTCATTGCTGGCCGATCGAAATTTCTATGAAAAGATGCGGCGACTAACAGAAGGTTTCAAGACTGGAGCATACTCTTGTAGAATCCCCAGAGTACTGATGCCCAGAGCATACTGAAATTAAGGAGAGAACACTTCTCCAACCTGCTGAATGGCAGTGAAAACATACCACCTCGATATGATGAACTCGATTCTCCAATAGATGACGATCGAGCAGATATTCCATTCGACCATGAGGAGGTTCAGCATACGTAATCATGGTCAACGATTGGGTTTAAGTGTGCTTTGTCGAATCCACAAAAGAGAGACCTCAAAATCTGCACTAGCCACCGTGGGATAAGAATTCTCAACGTCGCATACTAGGTTCCAACAAACGAAATGCCTAAAAGACTGTCAATAAACTGATTGCACTTTATCAGTATGGCGTAAGGCCTGAAAAATCAATCAACAACGAACCAGATATTCACCATGCGCCAATTCTTGGAAAAGAGCCGTAAAAATAGGATCAATATACAACTCCTCCTTGTTGACTTCGAAGCTGTTTCTAACAGCACGAAAAGGAGCTGAAGGGTTTTGTTCATGGAACGATGAGCTCTGCTAGATATACGACGACATTGACATATTTCAGCGAATTAAGAGACAACGGAATGGATGAAAACGCTCTAGCTCTGAAAGTATGAAAGGTGAAAACAGAAAAAGACATCCATTCCGTTCCTGTCATCGAATGTTAACAACGTACTTGTGAGAGCAAAATAATACATATTATATTAAGGAATTTTGTAAACCATTTGAGAATTACAGAGAAGTTGTAAATAAATCAAATCAAAAAGCAATTTGAAACCTTTCAAGCTATTTCTGTTCCTTCGGTGTCCCTCCCTCAATGACTACAAGCATTACTGTGTGTTCAGTATTAAAAACTTTCCGGTCGTTTTAGTGTTGGAACTGCGTCGAGGGCTGTTAAATTCGAACTACCAAAAAACTGTGTTGCTCCAAAGTGCAACTGTGCGCTGGAAACTTGTTAAGGATTTCATGACCTCATTAGCAATAGCAACGAGCTTCATCCGTAATAGACTTCTTTCAGTGTTCGTTTAAAGAAAACACGATGAGATTGCTAGAAAATGTACCCTTATCTCAATTGTGTGAGTTTAAAAGCGAGTGGGTACTCCATTGTTTTCTTGTTATCTATCGCTGGACCTATAAATCTATCGAGAGCTCGGAAAGTGCTGGTCAACAACCAAGAATTTTATAATTATAACATTCTTCTCGTCTAGAATGAATGAAATGGAAGAGTTCTTTGAACTATTTGCCACGAGAAAATTCAATCCCTCTGCAATTGGAGGTATTATTCATGGTTCACAAGCAATACGGCGAAATATTCTCTCGTACGCTCTTTGTCTAAGATGTATGGAGGAAATCGAGGACAGTTTTTGATCCATAGCTCGGATTTTTCCCAAATAAGATTGAAATATTTTGGTTGATAAGCCTTAGGTGGACCTCGGGAAGTAACAGAAATTGACGTTAAGAACCTTAAAAAAATTGTGGTAAGGTCAAAATGCTTCGAGGGTCTATAAGGATCTGGTGATCTATTTTTAGGAGTTTTCTGAGTAACCGAAACGACCAACCTTTGCAGCTTTCCACGAGAGATGTATTGGTTAGAATGAACCCTACGACCTGGCGTCGTATTTTGCACTCACTACCATTTGAACGGTAAAGCGTTTTCTTTCATTAGTATTAGAAAATATAATAACATTCCACGGTTAAGTCAATTCGCTGTTTAATGCAAATTATAGATAAATATTAAAAATATTCAAAAGCTCTCTAACAATTATCTTTTCATTAATGAAAGTTCTATGATGAAATATCACTTTGCATGTCCGCAATTATTTTGTAAGCAATGATATATTATATTTTACCACACCCAAAAATCTAAAAATAGAGACTCCATTTTTCAATTTTTAATTAATTCCTGCTAAGCTTTTGCGCTTTGAAGCGAAACTGAAAAGGTCAAAGCTGAATAGCCCTTTGCAATGAACCTAACGGGCATGTGACTTCCGCAAATAAAATACCGTTTACTTTTGAATGAATGCACCTTTTAGCGGATAATAAGCCAGTGAGTTGAACTGTGAAATCGAAAAAGGTCGCACGTATTTGTTTAGCGCTTTGGATTTTATGACTTTCTGCTGCCTATTTGGTGGCTATTATATATTTATTTGGCAAATAGTTTTTTTTATTCAATTGTTTAAGTTTTGTAATATATAATGAATTTCTGTAAAAAGTTTTTAGAAATTTGTTGCTTAAAAGTAAAATTTTTTAAAAGTTTTTTTAATGTTTGTTTTTTGTTAATCAAACCTCAAATATTAATTTTTATATTTTTTTCTGAGCATTTCTGATATTCATAAGTTTTTCTATTTTCGATTTAAAACGGCAATCCTAATACA